GCTATTGTAACACTATATAAAACACAGGGTTTGATGACAACTGATATGAAGTGTGATTGGAAAAAATAATGCCCCCTGGTAATGATAATATTTCCTGCTCAGATTGGTCTCACGATAATAGGCCTGCTCCAGTGGTGTTTTCAGAGTTATATACAGGACTCTGGTATTACATTACAGTTGCTGCCTAGTTATACATCCGTGTGAATAGGAGGGAAGAAATGCGCACACAGAAGTACCAGAATGTCTGAAGATGGGGGCCCGACAACAGCAACGTCTTGCTTGGCTCTCAAAGTGGGGGAGTGAAGCGTCTTCCACTCAGATCAGGCTGACTAGAGAAACATCCCACCTCCTTTCAAAGAAAAAAGAGATGCAACCTCGGCACCATGGTTGCCCTCTTTTTGTGCTCCCCTGCCTTACCTTACGGCCAGCCTCGGCGAGCCCATCCTTGGGAGCTTGGCAGCAGGCTCAGGAGGTCAGAAATAGCCTGGAGCAGGAAGCACCAGTGAAGGCTTTGCTTTCAAAGGGGAGGGTGGATGCGGACAAGAAGCAGAGCCACTCTAGATGGGGTAGAGAGGGGGGCTGAAAACCTGCCTGATGGATTGGGTTGCAGATAGTTCACTTCATCCTGTTCCAAGAGGAAACACGTTCAAATTCTTTGTTATAACTCAGCAAACATCCCAGCTCACTGGCTCACTGGGTTTATTCTTGTAGCGGAGCAGAGTCATTGCTGGCTTGAGATGCCAGCACTAATACGAGTCTGTTTATCTTGGGTTTCCCCGTCTCATCCTTCTCACTCTGCAGCACCTAATTACAGCAGCGCCAGTAGAGCTAAGGGTGGGTTCTCATTTCTACTCACCAGCTTTTAGCGTTTAGGTTTTCACCCTTTCCAAAGAATTCCAAGTCTTAGAGGTCGGTAGGTGCAAGGAGAAGACGGGGAATCAGTTTCCCTGGCCAGAAGTACATGAATATCTGAGTTTATGAAACGTGTGCCCCAGAGACCTGAGTCTCAGGGCTGGGACATGGGGAGGAACTAGGAATCCTGATTTATCCACTGTCTTTCTGTTCCTTCTCAGACTAAAGGCCTAAATCAGGCCTAGAGGATGGCAGATAAGCGCCGCTCCTCTCTACTTCTGTGTCTGAATCTGGCCCTGCATGGCAATGAAGTCTACTGTAAGGCTACATTCTAGCAGTGGCTTTGAGTCAGCCGTGAAAGTCCAGCGCTTGGCCCAGGAGGCTATCTTGGCCAGCCTTGGGCGACGCTAAGTGTTCCAAGCTGATTCCTGCT